CTTATGCTTACGCTGATCCTTAATTTAATGCATAAACATAATCTCGAAGTGTTGGATGTCAATGCAAAACCTCTGCAAAGTCTGAAAACATGAGACACACTGATGTCAGTGTAATCCTGCAGCCAAAGCTAAAGTAGTGTTCATCATTGTTCAACCTTGATTAAAGATAAGGTGATGTTAAAACCAACTAACAAACTCTGTTAGTTGTGAGAACAACTTCCAGTCTTGGAAACTGGAACCATCTGAGGACCATGTACAGCCCTTTGACTTATTTTGTTGCTGAAATGTACCATATATACAAATTTGTCTTGCCTTTATCTCGCCGTATCCTTTCCTGCTGTCTCTTCTTAAGGATTGGTAACAGACCCTAGAACACTGAACATCACCCATGACCCACTAAAGAGCCTATCATCCTTTGCATGACAATCATTTGTCTGTTTCGGTTGGTGAGCAACATCAGACTAAAACAAAGTCCTTTCAGAGTCCTCCAGTCAGAAACCAAAGCTGCTATACAGTTTTCAAAGCTTGATAGTAAATTGGATAGAGTATGGTCGAATCCTACTCCATAGAGTATGGAGTATGGGATGTAAATGCTCTTAATTTGACACAATGAAGCAGTTTTTTTTTAAATTTATTTATTACTATTTTATTTAAATATATGTATGTTTTTAAAATCTGCATTTTCCTTTGGCATATTTTCATTTTCTTAACTGCTGAGATTTGCCATGAAATAGTGATTATTTCTCTGATACCAGCTATATGCTACATGCACCAACACAACAACAATATGAGTACTGGCATCTGTTTTTGTTTTTTTAATTTATTATTATTATTTTTTTAATTTAAAGCACTGGCTCAAACCAAACCACGTGAAAATATTTCATTTACTTTGATATTAAGTTGAAAATCTTCTCTGGTTCCAAAGGAAGCAGAGCACAGTCTGATTTGTAACCTGAAGTGAAGTCATCAGGGTCAGTGCCTGTTAGGTGTGAAAACTGCAGGTTTGAATGTGACTAAATCTGGGGAAAAAAATTGCACTCATAGTCAGCTTGTTATTTTTGCTGGAGGCCAATAGCTGCCGGCTACTTTGACTTCCAGCAGAAAAACAAACTTTGATGTGAAAGTAAAATGTCAGCAGTCGGGTTGCATTGATTGAAAGAAGAAAACTTTGTAGTAAAACAAAGACAAGAAACCTTTGAGTGTGTTTTTTGTAAGCCTGATGCTTTATTTTCAGCTGAGTTTATCCAGTCCTGGTTTGAAAATAGGAACAATGGGCAGTAAGTCAGATTTGAGCACTAAAAAACACTGTCAGTGTTTTTATTTCAAGAGAGGATTGGCCAAGTTTTCGTCTTTTGCAGTGAGCTTTAACAGCATGTTACATGAGTGTATTGCTGCGCTACTTTTAACTGCCTGAAATCACTCACAGGCCTTGTTGCATAAACACCAGCACTGCCTGTGAATGGTATGTGTCCATACTGTTTGATTTTATGGCAACAAAACATTTGAACCATTTCAACATGATCTAAACCACGTTCTGCTCAGAATCCACCTCAAATGGTTCAAATCTTTTCGAGAGATTATAGAGAAAATCTGTGAGATAAACACAAACTTTCAGCAGAGCCTGCTCCTCACAGTTTGGCTCAAACAGAGTGTGGAGTCATTCAGGGGGATGTGCTGTGACGCAGAAGAGGAAAGGGAAGTAAAAGAAAGAGGACTGTGCCAAAATATGTTGTTTGTCATGATTCATCAACATGTTGAAAAACTTGTTTTTAAATTGTTTGCAATGTTTTTTCATTTGGGTCTGAACTCATTTGCCCCAGATATTTCTGTTGGTTGTTATTTCCTCTGATGTGATGTCGTCTTCTCATAGTTTGGGCTCAAGCGCTGAATAGAAACAGGACCCTTTGGGAACCCTAGATTGGTTTCTGACTTTGCCCAAATGACAAGCATATTTAGTAGCCTGAACATAGCCCAAAACTCCCATAAATTAACACGCACATCAACTGTGGTGAAAAGTTTGATGTTTATGAGTTTTGCACACAGATTTACAGAAGCTGTCCCAATGGTGGCACCTTAAATTCAGGTGCCAATTAAATTCAAACCTTTATTTATTCTCGAAAGGACATTGAGGTTTCCATCATTTTCAATGTCGTCGAGATCACAGACCTCATATGATCACAGAATCAAACAATCAATAAAACAATCAATCAATCACAACATCAAAGGAATTAATGAAAAGAGTTACAAACAGTCAAAGATTCATCTATTTAAATTCTGATTTAGTAATAACATCACCAATAGAAGACTAGCAGTATTAAACCCCAAACAAAAGTTCTGTATTAGCTTTAAGTTGTAACTCTTTCATTAATTCAATGTCAGGAACATTCACATAAATAAAAGCATCTTGTGAGTCATAGTCTCACCTACTACTTAAAGCCAGTGCAGCTTATGTGCTATATCTACTTCACCCTGTGGCTTTCATCTTTGGTTAATCTCTATATGCTTTGCATTTATGCTAAAACCTCAGTCCTAACCCTAATTAACTTGCATTTATTCTCAGTGACTCATTGTTAAATTTATTTATTTATTGTTCATTAAACTTTCTGAAGTAGTCTGAGTTTAGCCTGATGACTGAATGTTTATCCTGTTATCACTCTGAGTTCCTGTCTTTGCTTTGTCGGTCAAAGCATTTTGCAAACATCTGTTTTTAAAGGTGCTACATAAATTAAGTTATTGTTGTTATTTTCATCTCTGGTTTTCCTGCCACCATGCCAGACCCCCTCTGCTAGGTTTTCATGTGTTTTAGAGGTTATAGCAGGACAAATTAATCATTTACTGCCAGATTATCCAACAAGTGAGCAAACGCAGCCTTGGAAAAAGTCCAGAGCAGAGACCTGAGGAACTTTGTTTCTCTAAATGAAGCAGCATGACTTTTTTTTGTGCAGCAAGGAGCTGCTGGTGTGCATACCTTCTGTTGGTCCATTCTCAAAACATACTGCAGGCCTCTTTACCTCAGGTATCATACCCTTGAACATCTATAATAACTTTCTAGTCATATGAGTTCTTTGGAGCTAGTTTATACACTTGAAGTGCAAGCTTAAGTTCGGTTTATGTGTTGCAGAGGCATCTCAATATTTTGCCAGATGTGAAGTAGGCCTGAGATCCAGACTGTGGAGTGAAAGTGCTGCCGCAGGGTGTTTTTTTTTTTTTTTTTTGGTTCTTTTTTATTTTTTTGCAAAAGAAATGATCTGCTTAAACAAGACAGAAGATTAATGTGAAAGTACTGTTTTTGTAATGAGAACTTGTTTCCCCAGCCTCATCCCAAGCAAAAGTTCAATTGGAACTCATTAAATCCATGCATGTCTTTGCATCTGACATGTTTTTAAAGCCTGACTGTTTCTGATAGAGCATGACAACACATGAGTGTGTAATTCCCTGGTTTAACCTGCATATCTGATTATGGTGGAGTACGGCTCACATTGTCCACAGATTGCAGTCCCATGACATTAATCAGGTGTATTAGCTCTCAGTCGGTGCGCTCCTCACTTTGCAGAGCTCACTTGTCTTCACTTTACAAACCGACATCATCAAGGATCTGATGCTCAAACATCTGTGTTTCATCATATACATCCTTACCCTGGATGGCTCCTTTCACCGCTCATAATTTTTCAATAAACAACCCCAAAGGTTGACATGTAAAGAAAAAACACAGTGACACATGAAGCAGGTCTGCTCTGGCAGTCAGCCTCAGCAGATGCCCATGGATTTGTACTGAGACAGGGGAAACATTTGGGAGCTATCACCTAACCCTCCTCCTGTGTTAGGGTCTGCACTGACCCGTTTTTGATTTTAAATGTTTAAAAGACCCACTTACATGAGCTTTTTTCGAATCAAGACTTTTTGACTTTGTCAGGAACCTCTATTTCAACAAAATAAAAAATTAAATTGACTAAATTAGAAAATACTCATGAAAATTATGGCACTTGTCATGTTAGGGTCGCTGTTGACCCGGTTAGATCAATATCTCATAATTAGAGTTGTTGCATGCCCTGGGTGTTTGTGTGCTGTTTTCTGTGTTTGTGTGCTGTTTTTGTGTGTCTCTCTCTACCTGCAAGTTTTTTCCACTGCAGTAGAGGTGTGGCAGGTGTGGCTGATCTGCTGATGAGCAGCAAACTATATAAAAGAAGAAAGTACTGTGGTCTCTCCCTCTCATTCCCCCCTGTCAGCGATCCTGTGTGGACCTCTTTGAAAGAGTGTGTGACTCTGGTGTGGTTCAGTAGTGGCTGGGCTGAGCAGGTGGCAGTGGAGCCTGCAGTGCATTTGCTGTTTTCTTTTGTCACTTTAGCTTACCATTTGTGTTGTATTGGTGTTTTTCTCGGCCTAGTGCTTGTTTTAAGTTGGTTGTTTAACCTCAAGAATAAACTTTTCTGTTTCATTAATTACCCTGGACACTGTTACTTCACCTTAGTTCTTTTTTTAATTATTGTTACTACCTTTGTCCCCTTTTACATCTTTTGGTATGTAACAAGAGCAAAAACTGAAATCATAAATGCACTAACAGTCAGATCCTCTTCCATTCATGTGAGGTTTAGGAAATACTGACAAAGAAACGCCCAGAGGCCCAAAACAAAAAATATTAAAAGCAATATTTTCATGGATAATAAAGCCTAACAAGTTAACCTAGTGATGAGAACCAAATTGGATGACAGAAAATTGTTTTTAGTGTAACTTACAGCTGAGGTCAAAACCGACCTTTAACATGGTGGGTGCTTAGTAAAAGCTTACACAGAAGGAAGGTTAAAAAGGGTATGGAATAATAATAATAATAATAATAATAATAATAATAATAATAATAATAAAGAACTAAATAACAATAATTGAAAATACTCTCAGTATATTTACTTAGTTTAAAAAGTTAGAATACAAAAAAAGGAATTCTCTGTACTAACTCTTCTCTCAATCCAAAATTTAAAAATGGTCACACATTAAAACTGGTTGCCATGGTAACAGCTGTAGAACAGCTGGGAAACAGAGCTGATGACATCACTGATGACATCAGCATCATTGATGATGCTGATGTCATCAGTGATGTCATCAGCTCTGTTATGTTCCTCAGTGATGTCATACGGAACTTTGATGTCTCACAACAGACTCTGTGTCAAGAACCTTGTTGTCCAAAGTACCAAAGAACTTCTAACCTTAATTCACAACATTGAAACCAGAATTAGAGCGATTTATTAGCAGCACTTTGTTTGTGGTAAAAGTTATCTTTGACTCGAAAATGTCTCATTCAAGCGAAGCCTGCTGTGCAGCAGTTTATCAGGATAAGGTGTATGCAGATATTGACATTGAACCAGGAGAAATACTGAATGGTGACGCCAATCGATACTTCATTTTGGAGTTCATCGACAGCGGAACTTATGCTAAAGTTGTCAAAGCAAAAAATGTCATCACAAGGGAGTCAGTCGCCCTGAAGATCATGAACAACGAAGACAAAGAAATCATTGCGAACGAGATTGAGATACTGCAAACTCTTAGGACTCTAGACGCTGACAAGTCTAACATTGTGCAGTTCTTTGAGACGTTCGAGCACAATGGACACACCTGTCTAGGTATGTAGATTATATTCCATTTCACCATTCTGTTTTACTGTTGAATGAAAGTATTTTTTTGGATATCAGCGATATGTGGTAAAAAGTTGGACGTTTACTGCACTAAAAACATCTTGTAAAATATCAGGTCTAATTTCAGACCAAACACTGGATACCATTGTATTTAAACCTTGATATTCAGAAAGTACTCATTTGGTCTAAAATACTTTACAAAGGCATAACTTTTTTTGGTTAGAAACAAAAGAAAAACACTTGTAAATATTTCAGATTTAGCAGTGGTCTTTTTATAATTCATGTATTTTAATGCTCTTTAGTGTTACTCTTACCTTGTTCTATCTCATCAAATCCTGTCTTTTTTTTTTGTCTTATCTTTTTGTAGCCTTTGAAATGCTGGACAAAAGTCTTTTGGACCTATTGAATGAAAACGATGCGCCATTCTCTCTTCATGAGATTCGTCCAATCACCCAGCAACTTCTGTCAGCCTTTGATGCCCTGGCAGACATCGGGATCATATACACTGACCTAAAGCCTGACAATGTTATGTTGGTTAACCAGAGAGACCAGCCTTTCAGAGTGAAACTTATAGACTTCGGTGTGTCCGTTAAGACCTCTGAGGTGGACGACGGTTTGGGAATGCCGGCAGTCCCTTTCAGAGCTCCTGAACTGTTCCTGGGCCTCCCCTCCTCAGAGGCAATAGACATGTGGGCTCTGGGGTGTCTCCTGTTCACAATGTTTCACTTTGACTACCCGTTTGATGATGACTCTGATGACCCTAGTGAGATTGGGACCATGGAGAACATTGTAGCCATCATGGGTCAGCCAGCTGATCACCTCCTCGATGCTGGAAAATTCACAACAAACTACTTTGTAAAGAACCCATCCTCAGAACACCCCAAATGGTTGGTGAAAAACCAGACAAAAACTGGTCTTGAACCTGAAACCACACTAAGTGTAAATTCTCTGGAGGACCTGGTCACACTTAACCTAGAGAACCATGGGTCCATTGAGATCGAGGACCGCAGAGCCTTTGTGAGCCTCCTGAAGGGTCTCCTAAACACTGACCCAGAGAAGAGGATTAGCCCCAAGCAGGCTCTAAGTCATCCATTTATCACCATGGTCCACCTGCAGGAGAATGCTGACGGCCAGTACCTGGAAGACGCCAGGGACAAAATGGTCATCACTTACAGGAACAGGTCAGAGGAGAATCATCTTAGTCCAGCTGCTGTGGTAGACAAACATGAAGAACCAGCTGAAGCTGAAGCGGCTATAAGCAGCTCAGCTGTAGAAGATCCAGCTCTTACCAACATCTCAGAGGAGAATCTTCTTAGTCCAGCTGCTGTGGAAGACAAACAAGAAGAACCAGCTGAAGCTGAAGCAGCTATAAGCAGCTCAGCTGTAGAAGATCCAGCTCTTACCATCATCTCAGAGGAGAATCTTCTTAGTCCAGCTGCTGTGGAAGACAAACAAGAAGAACCAGCTGAAGCTGAAGCAGCTATAAGCAGCTCAGCTGTAGAAGATCCAGCTCTTACCAACATTAACCAGTCAGAGGAGGATGTTTTCAACACAAATGAGCTAGTGAGGTTTGACTCTGATCCTCAACTTGTAATAGGTCCATCTGTGAGAAGGAGAGGTGGCCCACTAAGACGGGTCAGACGTTTCTTTGGCAGAGTCTTCAGGGCCATGTGTTGTTGTCTCCCGCCTAGGGATGACTAGAACGTCCTGGGTTCGGATCCGGGTCAGGGCGTTTCTGTGTGGAGTTTGCATGTTCTCCCTGTGTCTGTGTGGGTTTACTCCGGGCTGCTCCGGTTTCCTCCCACATTCTTTCAAAAAAAAAAAAACATTGTGGCTTTTCCCTCCCATGGAGGGTTTTAATTCCCCTCCTCGAGCTACCACCTTACCGTGGTGGAGGGGTTTGTGTGTCCTGATGATCCCAGGAGCTAAGTTGTCGGGGCTTTATGCTTCTGGTAGGTTCAACCATGGCAAACATGTCCTGTGGGAGGGATCAGACTAAGGGTAGCTCAAATAGACCTTTTATGATGAGTAAAATATTTAGTATCCAGTTTACTTTGCCCCAGGTTACTGAGCCACCTCCACCTGGCTGGCTAGAGGAACGGAGGGAGGCACTGGAAACAAAATCAGAAGAAAGTGAGGGTTAAAACCAGAAAAAGCAGGCACTAGAAAAATCTTCAAATGTAGGTTACGATATCTCAATTGTGTTCTGGAGCCAAGCACCGCTGCGTAGAAGTGAAAATACTCTGGTCTGAAGTGGTCTTAAAGCTGGATTGTGGAGCACAGGTTCGTGTGATCAGCTTCAGTGCCGCAAGGGGGAAGGGAGCAGCCTCTGCAAGCAGGTGATAGACAGCAAGACAATCCCGTCCAAAAGGGCGGACTCCAGCCAACCAAAACAAAGGAAAAGTCCATGCTCACCATATTTTGTTTCTTACTTTCTTACAGTTAGAGTGGTTTCACATAAAGGACTAGGGCCTGTATTTACTTGACTCCAAAGTTCAATGTATTTGATCAGTGTGAACAGAATCGCACTCAAGTATGAGTACTGTATCCACTTTTAAGAGGTGGTCTTTGGCACATATGTTGTTGTCAACACAGCACCAAAGGTGTCAGAATTTACCGAATGACACCTAATGACAACCTTCATTAGTCTTATTCATGTTAATGACAGATGCCATGTCATGATTATGACAACGTAATATCAGTCTTATGTACCAAAAGTTTCAACTACAAGGCCCTAGTCACAGATCTAGTCTCACTTGCAGTTGTGATTACTGTGTTCTGCTAACATGATGTATCATGACTTTATATTCTATGAATAAGCATTGCTTAATCTGTATTGAATGCATTGAAAGTTTTATTTGTTTTTAGTGAAAATAAAGGATTATTCCCTCCCTTTCTATGTAGTAAATCAATTTTGCTAGATTATATCGATGCTGATGTGTTTTGTTTTCCCAACATCATAAACGTGAGTAAGTGGCCTTGACAAGGACATACTTGTGCATATGTACATCTATTAGCATTTGCACATCTGTACATCGAAATGGTGAGTGAATTAGAGGAAGGATCAGATACAGTGAAAGATACTTTGGAGAGGAGGTCTGGGGTAGTTGTAGTACAGGGACTTTTCGTTGCACAGCCTAATTTATTCCTATTAGCTGTAAACTGTACTGAACAGTAAAACCCAGGGAGCAATCTGCTTCCAGTGACAACTTTTGGATAAAAAAAACATCAAGACAAGTGAGATCAAGACTTGGCTTGGCTGCACTGACCACTTTAATTTTCTACTTTTTTCTGGATCAATCATCAGATTTTTTTCTTAAACTTTTTGGAAAGGTACACCACAAACAAATCAGACTGTCCAAACAAAGAAAAAGAGATAGAAATTATCTCAGCATTTGATCACCAGCATTTGCAAAGCATATGGAGTCAAAATGATGCAGCGTTGGCGATTTATATTTCAAAATATGACATAAAAATCTGAAAACAAACAGGAGATCATTTGGTTTTGGTTCATTTTTTGTGCAGCAGTTTTCAGGTATTTTTTTCTCTGACCTACATGTGGGTGGCCTCAAACTAACAGGCACAAATCCTGATTATCATGTCATTCACAGACTTCTCCATCCAACAGAAACACTGTCAAACCTTTTAGCGTGTTTGGTTTTCATAATCTGGACCACATTCCAATGCGGTGGCTGTTCATTATGATTTGATTCATTTGAAGTTTCCTATCAGGGAGGAAAGGTCAGAGGGATTAGACTTTTTTTTCTTTGCAGATCAAAAGCAGAAAGCTGCATTTTTATTGAACAACACAAACTCCACATTTCTTCTCTCAGACAACATCAGTGCATCTGAACCATGTAACGCTTGTTTCTCAAACAATAATTATCAAAACAACCCCATGAGACGACAGATAAACGTGTACATTATGTGTGATTTGTGAAGCATGATGGTTATTAAGTCATTTCTGTGTAGCTGTTTTGAAAACTCTTACAGGAAAACTTGATTTGTTTCTTGGAAATCAAAGCTGTAAATGATTGATGTATTTGTGTTTTCTTAACTTTTCTCTTTGATAAAATGTATTTCATCTCTCTTTGCCCGGCATTGCTGCTGCTGAATAATTAATCAGCCATGCAGGAAACAGGGCAGTAATTGCTTTTGAAAGAAACCATTTATGCCTCCATGAAAGACCAGTTTTCAACCATGTTACATTAATTCTGTTGGCTTGTTTTCTTTTGGGAATCGCCAAACCTTTCAGGATGTGGACTGTTGACTCTATGCCATGATAATTAGCTTCTTCGTCTACCGCATTTCACTGCCCTGCTCATTTAGCCAAAAGAGGAAATGGGAAGTGAGAACAGGCCAGAACAGGCTTCAAGAGGTTTGTCTCATGGTTTTCACTCTCAACAGTGTGCCATAACCTCTATTTCTGGATTTTAACATGCGCATTTGATATGATTGATAAAACAATAATCCATGTATTGCCAGTTTAGTTGGCGGCTTCTGTTGAAGAGGATCTGCACCAATGTTACAGTTACCTCTAGCTGAGCCGTTATAGTGAACACGAAATCTCAACTGATCAGAGAAATCCAACAAGCATCATCACATATTGAAGTAAAAACTAGGGGGGGAAAGTATTCTTAATGATTGACCTTTGGAAATATTAAACAACCAATCAACAATTATTCGTAAAAAAAAGATTAGATTTTTCATAGGACTCAAACAGTACCAATGCATTTTTACCTTGAACCACAGGAATGAGGGGCCGTGGTGGCTTTGAGTGGTCAGAAGACATTTACCATTAATAACTTACTGTATTGCAAAGCAGCAGGGCATACATATGCAAACTGTGCAGCATGCCAATCCTCAATGTGTCGAGCAGACTCATATAATCTGTGTGGTCATGCAGAGTGAGACTCAGACTCCTGAATGTGTAATTACTGCTGGACAGAAAAATATCTTAGACTCTTTTTACTACAGTTTACTGCATACTTGTTCTTATTGAGATTAAAAATGTTTTAAAAAGTATGCGCACATGGTCAGGTGTCAGTCAGGATTGCAACTAGGCGATAATCAATCTGGCAACTGAAAAACACAATCAGAAGTTAATTACATTACTATGCAAAAATACAAAAACACCATCAATTTAGCTTTGCCTGTCTGAGAAACGTTTCTGCATGTTCTTTAAAGAGTTCTCTGCTTTTTCTGTATTGTTATCTGATGAGTGTTTTGCACTGCTACCCCCAAAATAGTGCTTGTGGAGACCTCATGCACAGCTGAAGCCCCTTGTTGAGCATCTTTGTCCATGCAACACCTAACCAGTTGATTAGCATTAAAACATGTTTGAAACTAAAAGCACCATGCTAATATTTAAATATGAGACAACACAAAAAATTGAACCAAAATGTTTGAGTATGTTCTCCGTCTTTCTAAACGATGCATCTATCAAACACCTCTATTTTCTGAATGCTGTTGCTGCTGCCTGATGTGAATCCTGCTCTGACCCCCCTCACTAAGTTTCTCTACGTCAAAAGAAAGAGCTCGCTTTCACTCTTGTCATTCCTTTGCTAATTCAAGATCAGCCCTACACTCCTAATTACTCACTCATTCATCCTCTTCACTCCCTCTTTCTTTCTGTTCTCTTTCACTGCAGCAGCATGCAGGAATGTCAGGAGAGTGTCCTCATTATGGAGGAGACAGTAGTTTGGGAATCGGTCTTTAAACACGAGTTCAGTTGCTGCTTTACTTGGAGAGATACCATCGACCCTGAAGTGTCCCTGCGGGGGGACTCTAAAGCTGAGTTATGCAGCCGAGTGTGGGAAGAAAAGTGTAATAACTTTCACCTGAACGCCTCCACTCTACCAACCACCATGGGTTTGTCATTCACAGGCATCAGACCCCCCTGTATTCAGAGGGGGGGGGGCTGAAGGGATCTGGCTCTAATGAGGCAGTAGGCATTTCTCTGGCTCGTTACAAACCGCTGTGTGTAGAGCCTTATTCTGGACTGGAAGCTGCACCAAGTACCAGCTACTATTTCTCAGAGTGAAAGGGATTCACAATTAATGATGCAATTATGCTAATGGAGTTTCCAAGCTGCTCGTTTGCCTCCCCTCCTACCAAGTATCAATCCTGCTGAAGAATGGGAAAGGGAAGCATCAGTGCTCAGACTCAGTGAGCATGTTTGTGAGTTTGAGCTTTCCTCAGGCTCTGTGAAGTCGATGACAACAATTGGCTCAGAAATGACTGAGCTCTTGTTTCACTCAGTTTTTATTCTTGTACAAAGAGAAGGATTGGCAGACAGGAAAAGAGTATTTTCAATCAAGTTTTTGGCCATAAAATGATGAATGTCATATTGACAGAATGACTGTATTCATGGGCCACAGCTACAGAGCTTTTCTGGCTTTAAAGATGAATTTTTCGTAAGTCACAACAAGGTCAAACCTCAACTATCCACCTTCCGGTTGTATGGTGCTACAGTCAAGGATGGCTAGGTTGAGGGAACAATCTGGTCTTTCTCACTGCTTCTTTCACATACAGTAGGTCTGCAGCAGCATAAAATTAAACAGCATACTATTGGTGCCTCAGTTTGTAATGCTAAAGTCTCTGGACTTTGTCGAAGTTCTTGAAGAAGTTCAGCCTCCCACAGGTCTGGCTCTGGATAATTTGGTGCCTCAAGCGAGAGTACGATTTTCCTATCTGTTATTTTGCACAGAGATTAACTTTAGTTGGCAATATGTTCCTTCACAAACTTCTTCACTGTATCATTTCAAGTTTATTTTATTAAATACACTATCATTAATTTACAACATCAAGCCTGGTTTATGCTTCTGTGTGGGACCTACTACGCTGAAACCTACACCATGAAAGCTTAGCAGAGGTAGAAGCATGTAGCCATTGCACACCTCTTCAAAAATGCAACCATGTGTTGCATCAATCATACGGCATGAACTGGATGCCCTATGATTGATCTGCTTGGAGGCAGACATTTCTGGTGTTGCTACTGTCCCTTGTCCTCCTCCTCAGCAGCCGTACGGTCAGTCTCCTTCTCTGCTCTCTTTTTTCATGTTATAACTGCAGCCTGATCAACTGCTGCACAGCATTTATCAGCTTCAGCTCAAGCATCTTACGCTTGGCTTTAGTCACCATGGTACACAAACTATCAGGGAGCATGGTAAGACTGAAAACAGATGATGCAATGAGCACAGACATTAGAGTGAAGAATTACAGACTCACAGTGGGAGTCTATAGATGGGTCTAATGCTGACCCATCAAAGGTGGTGAGACATGCCACCAAATTCTCATGACTTAGTCTTAAATTATGAAATCCTTTGAATTAAATCAACATCTTATTATGTTATTTGCCCTATATAGTGCACTATCGTTTGGTTTAAATGCATATTTTTGTATTAATAAGGAGGGAAAAGTAAATAAATCGGTGCTGGCGGCCATATCAGAGATGCTAGCAATCCCATAATTTGAGTGGATTACGCTCCTGATCCTTATTGAGGATAACACTTTTAATATCAGTTTATGAAAAGCAGTTATTTTCTTCGAATTGTCATGAAATCTTTATAGAATTGTGGGCCCTTGTTTGCCCCAAAAGCGTTGCAGCAAGAGGCTCTGTGGCTTAGCTGGTTAAAGCACCTGTCTTGTAAACAGGAGATCCTGGGTTCAACTCCCAGCAGTGCCTTCACACATAAGCTTAGCTATAAATATTAATCCTCATCCAAGCTCATGAGGTGCTCTGTTCAACTCCCTTCCCCAACCAGTTTCTCTCTGCCAGGCTGCACTGGACAGGGATTTGCTGGTTTTCTTTCCCATTGGGTAACCTAATGTCAGATGCCGGGGACCCTTTACAAGGGGAAAACCACCAACAGCACCATGACCACAGCAGGGGCCTGTTCTACGAAGCAGGTTCAACCTAGCGAGGTAGCCTTGGAGCTACCTCGCTCAACTTAGCGTGGTAGCCAGCGGTCTCGCTAAGCGGTTTTACGACGCTGGTTATCAACCTCATAAGTGGATCCAGCTCTGCTATGAGCGCGTGCATACATATAAGGCGGAGCCCGCCGCATCTGACCAATCGCGAACATGGACCAGTCTGGAGCGTCAGAGCAGGCTGGAGAGTGAAGGACCGCAGACTTTACAAACGAGGAACAGGAGACGATCATGAGAAAGTATGAAGAATTCAAAGCTATCATAAACCTCAAAAGCAACACCGTCGCCGCTGCAAAAGCGCGGAGGGAATGCTGGCAGAAAATGCATCTTTGATGCCATTATCACCCTGAAATAGCACTGTTCAACATGCGCTTTTAACGAAGGTGACAGTCCCCGAATTGGATGGTCTGTCCCCGGCTAAAGCTGTCCCCGAAAATGTCCCTGATTTAATCATTTCATGGATGAGAACAAAAATGTTGCATGAGGGCAAGAACAACGGTTATTTCAGTAGGTAGGAAGCACAAGTAAGCAGTCCTGAACAACAGTATTTACGGGGGTTATTATAAGGGGCGTGCGCTGCTACTAAATAGTACCGAGATGTTGTCTGTGATCGCGCAGCCCATGCCCATTCATTCCCAAGATGAATCATTCATTTGTTCATTCCTATCGTGTTTACATGTTTTGTGTAATATGTCGGCCACATGAGCCTTTCATAAAGGTGGTCATCCGGAGAAAACTCTCCCTGTAAACTCTCGCGAGCCGGAGTGCTCCTCCTCGGACAATGCGAGCACCGAGGTCTGGATGCTCCAAGAATGGACAAGCCGTTTTTCGAGAGAGCTCACTGGTCAGTGGGCGGGGTTTTTATACTCTTTGAGTTCAATCTGGAACTTAACCTGCCCCGGAGCAGGTTAGCCGTTCAGCGTATATTGCTATGGAGACTCGCCTCGCTAAGAAGTGAACCCGCGTCGTAGAATAGGAAACCCCGAACTTATTCTCGAAGTTTTGTAGAACAGGCCCCTGGTTAAAAAGGGTATGGAATAATAATAATAACAATAATAATAATAATAAAAAACTAAACAACAATAATTTGAAATACTCTCAGTATATTTACTTAGTTTAAAAAGTTAGAATACAAAAAAGGATTTCTCTGTACCAACTCTTTATCCGAAATTTAAAACTGGTTGCCATGGTAACAGCTGTGGAACAGAGCTGATGTCATCAGTGATGTCATCAGTGATGACAGTGATGACATCACTGATGTCAGTGATGACATACGAACTTCTTTGATGTCTCACAACAGACTCTGTGTCAAGAACCTTGTCCAAAGTACTGAAGAACTTCACCTTAGTTCACAACATTGAAACCAGAATCAGAGCGATTTATTAGCAGCACTTGGTTTGTGGTAAAAGTTATCTTTGACTTTGAAAATGTCTCATTCAAGCGAAGCCTGCTGTGCAGTTGTTTATCAGAATGAGATGTATGCAGGTATTAATATTGAACCAGTAGAAATACTAAATGGTGACTCCGGTCAATACTGCATTTCAAAGTTCATTGCCAGTGGAACTTTTGGTGAAGTTGTGAAAGCAAAAAATATCATCACAAGGGAGTCAGTCGCCCTGAAGATCATGAACAACGAAGACAAAGACGTCATTGCGAACGAGATTGAGATACTGCAAACTCTTAGGACTCTAGACGCTGACAAGTCTAACATTGTGCAGTTCTTTGAGACGTTCGAGCACAATGGACACACCTGTCTAGGTATGTAGATTATATTCCATTTCACCATTCTGTTTTACTGTTGAATGAAAGTATTTTTTTGGATATCAGCGATATGTGGTAAAAAGTTATGCATTTACTGCACTAAAAACATCTTGTAAAACATCAGGTCTAATTTCAGACCAAACACTGGGTACCATTGTATTTAAACTTTGATATTCAGAAAGTACTCATTTGGTCTAAAATACTTTACAAAGGCATAACTTTTTTTGGTTAGAAATAAAAGAGAAAATATTTCAGATTTTGCAGATTTTACTTTTTATAATTCATGTATTTTAATGCTCTTTAGTATTACTCTTACCTTGTTCTTTCTCATCTAATCCTGTCTTTTTTTTTTTTGTCTTATCTTTTTGTAGCCTTTGAAATGCTGGACAAAAATCTTTTGGATCTATTGAATGAAAATGATGCGCCATTCTCTCTTCACGAGATTCGTCCAATCACCCAGCAACTTCTGTCAGCCTTTGATGCCCTGGCAGACATCGGGATCATATACACTGACCTAAAGCTTGACAATGTTATGTTGGTTAACCAGAGAGACCAGCCTTTCAGAGTCAAACTTATAGACTTCGGTCTGTCCGTTAAGACCTCTGAGGTGGACGACGGTTTGGGAATGCCGACAGTCTCTTACAGAGCTCCTGAACTGTTCCTGGGCCTCCCCTCCTCAGAGGCAATAGACATGTGGGCTCTGGGGTGTATTCTGTTTGAAATGTTTATCTTTGACTACCCGTTTGATGATGACTCTGATGACCCTAGTGAGATTGGGACCATGGAGAACATTGTAGCCATCATGGGTCAGCCAGCTGATCACCTCCTCGATGCTGGAAAATTCACAACAGACTACTTTGTAAAGAACCCATCCTCAGAACACCCCAAATGGTTGGTGAAAAACCAGACAAAAACTGGTCTTGAACCTGAAACCACACTAAGTGTAAATTCTCTGGAGGACCTGGTCACACTTAACCTGGAGAACCATGGGTCCATTGAGATCGAGGACCGCAGAGCCTTTGTGAGCCTCCTGAAGGGTCTCCTAAACACTGACCCAGAGAAGAGGATTAGCCCCAAGCAGGCTCTAAGTCATCCATTTATCACCATGGTCCACCTGCAGGAGAATGCTGACGGCCAGTACCTGGAAGACGCCAGGGACAAAATGGTCATCACTTACAGGAACAGGTCAGAGGAGAATCATCTTAGTCCAGCTGCTGTGGTAGACAAACAAGAAGAACCAGCTGAAGCTGAAGCGGCTATAAGCAGCTCAGCTGAAGAAGATCCAGCTCTTACCAACATCTCAGAGGAGAATCATCTTAGTCCAGCTGCTGTGGAAGACAAACAAGAAGAACCAGCTGAAGCTGAAGCAGCTATAAGCAGCTCAGCTGTAGAAGATCCAGCTCTTACCAACATTAACCAGTCAGAGGAGGATGTTTTCAACACAAATGAGCTAGTGAGGTTTGACTCTGATCCTCAGCTTGTAACAGGTCCATCTGTGAGAAGGAAAGGTGGCCCACTAAAACGAGTCAGACGTTTCTTTGGCAGAGTCTTTAGGGCCATGTGTTGTTGTCTCCCGCCTAGGGATGACTAGCACGTCCTGGGTCTGGATCCGGGTCAGGGCGTTTCTGTGTGGAGTTTGCATGTTCTCCCTGTGTCTGTGTGGGTTTACTCTGGGTGCTCCGGTTTCCTCCCACATTCTTTCAAAGAAAAAAAAAAACCCAGTAGCCCAGCCTGGGGGTGGAGTTTGATGGCGTGCACCTGGTGGCTGGGCCTGGATTTTGATGGACTTGATGGCATTATTGTTTGACTCAAAAGCATTGTAGCAAGAGGCTCTGTGGCTTAGCTGGTCAAAGTGCCTGTATTGTAAACAGGAGATCCTGGGTTCAACTCCCAGCAGTGCCTTCACATGTAAAGTTAGCTATAAATGTTAATCCTCATCCAAGCTCATGAGGCAGTCTGTTCAACTCTCTTCCCCAAATAGTTTCTCCCCGCCAGGCTGCACTGGACAGGGATGTGCTGGTTTTCTTTCCCATCGGGTAACTTTATGTCAGACGCCGGGGACCCTTCACAGGGTGACAACCACAAGCAGCACTATGATCACAGCACACTTCTTCAAAGGATTTAGTTGCTAGAGGTAGCTGTGAGGGACACCTCCTGGACTCTTAAAAAGTGCAATTGGAGGCGACCAGCTGATTTGCATCGTCAATTGGACCTTTATGTGTCACATAACCGCGACCTGACGAGGAGCCCACTGGGTGTTGTAGTGGCCAGCGATGGTCCCGGCAGTCTCTGTGACGCAATCGGCCAGCGCGCTCGGCTGTTAACCGAGAGGTTGGTGGTCCGAGCCCACCCAGGGACGATCTGCGCTTATTGCAGGGGGCTTAAAGCTCAGGTTGACTGCCTTTGCCCCAATGGAAGTAACCCCGTCTGAAGCATGGTGCTTTTACCTCACCGAACAGCACTTTTCACAGTAAGCAAATCCAAATTGCCCCCTCAGCTCTATGGTCATGCATGCATGACCTGCTGTCCCTCTGCTGCTCCCTGAGACCTTCAAGGTGTGTGTCTTTGCCCTCCTAGTTTGCTAGACTTGATGGCATTATGGGGCCTTGTTTGCCCCAAAAGCATTGCAGCAAGAGGCTCTGTGGCTTAGCTGGTCAAAGCACCTGTCTTGTAAACAGGAGATCCTGGGTTCAACTCCCAGCAGAGCCTTCACATGTAAGCTTAGCTATCAATGTTAATATTGTTTTAAAAGCCATTGCATCAAGAAATTCGCACTTTTTTTAGTAGTTTGCATAGATGTCAAAAGTAGTCAATGTTTTTCTTTTAGTATATCACAGTGTTCTTGGAAGGAAACAGCAGCAATTGTTTCTTCTCCTTTTGTCTGCTAGAGTTTGGCTCCATTTCCATAATCTTTACCCAGTTGCCATTGTCTGAAAATCTTGGCTGTGGAATTGTCTCAGTCACTGAGTGCCAAAACGTTCACAGCTTGGATACAAAAAGCCAGTGCCAAGCTCTTTATTACACCTTATTTTCCCTACAAATAATACCAATTAATTCAAGGCCTTAATGATGATGTGGTGTTATTTATTTTTTTTTTTTTTTGGGGGGGGGGCAATGAATGTAGGACATGATTTCTTTCTGCATCCTTGTCTGACACTCAGATTCAGAGTGTCACACAGAGTGAGAAGCTCACGCTGTGCAGCCAGACATCTGAAACACATTCATAACCCTGCAGAGGGAGATGCTCAGGGGTGGCTGTGTTTTGATTAAACTTTGAGCAGCAGTAATTGAAAATGTTACACCTGAGAGTCCTTGCATAATCACATTACTCGTGTAGCCGAGATCTTTCCATAGCGAGACAGATTGTGTTGGTGAGAATCAGGACATATGTGTGATTGTTCTGCTGCAGTGTGCATTGGCTGATACAGACAAGTAAAAGGTTAATTCTATCAGCAATGCACAAAGGAGCTGTGTGTGTGTCAGCTGCAGATAAAACGCTGAATTAAACAGCTACGTCTTTTCACTTACATCGACTGTAAAAGCCTTATGTTTTTATTCTGTACAGAAACCCTCACGACTCTCTGACATTGTATCATAGTTTCTTTCATTTCTTTTCTAAAATAAAGAGCCCATGAAAGGCCCTATCAGCTCTCCTAACAATAACTGTCACGTTGCACAATATCTAAAACCACACTACACAGCCTGAACAATGAGGTCCCAGAGCCTGACAATCACACAGAGGGAGAAATGAATACTAACCAAAGTGAGACAATCCTGTCTGTGTGAGCAGGGGCTGTAAATGTGGGAGTGTGGAGCCTCTGAGGGGTTCCCAGGAGGTTTCCCTCCCACCAACAAAGCCAAAGCTGCCACAGTATTTGCTTATGTCAGTCACCTGCCAGATGACGACAGAGACGAGCCATCCAACAGCAGCTTCGTCAGCTCCAGAGTCACAAAAACACAGAAACCAAGATGCTTTCTTCTGACTCACTCACACTTAGTTAAAGTTATACAGGAGAAAAATACTGTTTTGTACCTAATTTTGCTCTTTTTCACTTTTTTTGCAACAGCTATCATAAATTATGCCACACTTACCTTTTTCCCCACATTAAGAACAAGTAAATGAAATGAAAACAGCCATGCATAAATCATAATAAGCTGAATATTTTCATTAGTGAACCTCGACAGCAAAGAGCACATTTCAGAAAGTGTTCCTGACGCTCAGACCTCACTGACTCTACTTGGTTTCTCACAGCTCGACGTTTCACATGCCTGATATATTGGATGTGGAAAGCAAAACACAACACTTACACGGATAATTAATGCTGCGGGTGAGATGTAGAAGATGTAGTTTAAACTCCACAGATGGAAAGCGTTTACAGAGATACAAGCTGTCGCAATACATGTTAGAGGGCATCATTATTCTTCTATCAATGATCACAAAGCTTGTCTTCATGGTTTAAACAACAAAGAAATGGTTGTTGGTGTGTTTGTTTGTTTTTACTAAGGCAGAAGATGAAATGAGGTTACATTTAATGATGGATTTCTCATATTTTAACGAAAACACTAACACATGGGTTGAAGTTGATCAAATTTGGCTTCTATTGTTAAGGAACAACATATACAGCTCCTGGAACATGAAAAATTCACTTCTGACAGTTTCTGTGTGTTTTAGGTGTCAGTGTACTCACTTTTTTTTCCACAGGGTGAGTAAAATAGATGACTCTAAAAAATGTGTAACTACATAATTGACTTTGTGGTTACCTAGATACAGGCGGGACTTGCTTTTCTCACAGGCTCACCTATCTGTTACTCCGGATTAACGGACATCCACACCGCTAAGCAAATAGGAACCATGTATCTCATCAATACTTGGGTTACAAAGACTTTGTGGAATTAGGATGTGATGTTTTCATGCACAAACACACAAAACAGGGTACTGAGCCAGGATGCTAAAGTACAGAGGCCTGTACTACGAAGCTGGATTAACACATCCAGGATAACTCTGCGACAACTCGCTAAACTTCACCGGATCTCCGCGATCCCGATCAGCTGTACTACGAAGCCGGTTATCAACTCGATCACTGAATCCAGGTGTAGCCACTTCAGATCTGTGCGCGCACACGTAAAGGGGGTGGGGTAAGTGCCACCGGACCAATCTCCACAATGGAGAAGGCTGCATGTCATTTTTCACAGCTGAAGAACAGAGCATTATTTTACAAGGAGTACCGCAACATTATAACAGTGAGGAGCAGAACAGCCACAGCCGCTAAAAGCCGGAGGGACTGCTGACAAAAAAATCATCGATTGTGTAAATTATATTTGTGCGTTCATAAATTTATGGCCCCCTAATATGTTGTCATTGCAGCGTGTGTGATCACCTCCGTCATAGACCTCATTATTTCAGACACAACAGCAGTGGAGAAAAGAGTACGTGGGAGCAAATAAAAATAAATCTAAAAACATCCTTTAAAGTAGTTTGTAAGTTTATTGGAAGATTTTATTTGTATATTTCAACGCGTAAACAGTGATTTCCTCACACTGCCTTTTTTTTCTTTTTTTCTCCATCATCTGATAGTCACGTCATCTGCAGACACATTTGGGGTTAAGAGTTTTCTAATCTGCCTCAATAAATTCTGAATGATGACTGATATGCCGCATGAAATTGAAACCTGGAGCTTGGCAAATATTTGTGCATTGCTTAGACTTCATGCTACCTGAATATTGAGGCCGTCCGAGGAAAACCTGTAACGTTCATATAGAACATCATCAGGTAAATCAAAGGGGTTTGAACGATCATGAATATAACGCTCTCGGCGGAGCGCTCCTCTCACTATCCGTGCAACGATGTCCCCGGGATCCGGCAAGATTGGGCAAGCCATTTTCCAAGAGATCCGATTGGTCAGTGGGCGGTTTTTTATACCTGCTGAGATCTTATCCTGAAACATAACCTGCTACGGAGCAGGTTTGCCGTTCCGCGTAAGTTACCAGGGCAACGGACCCGGATAAAAAGAGATCCACCTTCGTAGTACAGAAAACCCAGAAGTTATCCAGAAGTTATCTCGCTAAGACCAAATCCAGCTTCGTAGTACAGGCCTCAGGTCAGCATAGAAACTGTTTACATCAAGATTTGGAGTCTGCAGCAATAGAAGCATTTTGTTTCTGTGTGGTAGGACTTTCAGCTGTACCAAATACATGCTTTTTTATAATAATAAAGGTCCCAATTTTTTGGAATCACATGCATTAACTTCACAGTGTAGGAAGAAGTCCAAAGTCCAATCATGGTTTATCCTTTAGGGGCCAAGAGTTTATTCATAAATGTCATGTAAATCCGTTGAATAGTAGTTGAGATCATGTTTTCTTTGATTATAAGCTGCCTTCTAGAAACAGAGCTCTCGCTCATTCATCCAAAAACTCCTTCTTTCCTCTCCTAAACATGTCCTTCACTGAATCATGTATGCGCTTGACTCTGCGCCACAATCACGGCTGGATAAAAATATCAGCTGACAGGGGATGAAAGGCTTTTTTCACCATTACAGTCCTTCAACTCAGTTTTCCATCCAAAACCCACCTTCATAGCAGAGCCTATCAATGTATAAAATATGCATATTAGATCTATATTTAGATTCAGTCATGATGAGTTATCCCCCGGGAGCTCTGCTCTCCTTAGAAACAGTGCAATATATCAGGAAACTAAGGGCTCTTTCAATTGGAGTCTTTGTTTTGTATATTTCCATATTTCTGCCCTCACAGAGCTTTTGACCACCTCATTTACATCCCAGGAACAGCAGCAGCAGCAGCTCTGGTGGCAGGATGATCAAGAAGTCTTCAAAGTCTTTGCCCAAAGCTTCTGTTCAGATGTGGTCCAGCGTTTGATGACTGAAGTACTGCTTTATCCAAAGTTTTCTTTTCTAGTCTAGGAAATACTGTGGGTTGGGTTGTGCAGACAATTTTTCTGCAGCTCTGTTTTGGGTTCACGATGCACTGCTTTTGTTTATCCCTGTGAACTGATACTCTCTAACTGTGCAGCTAGTCAGACTGATGTTAGCTAGCAACAAAAGCAACAGAGCGCTATTTTGAAGACATGGATTTGACTAAACCAAAGAAGGTAACTACAGTGTGTAAGAGTTTGTATGCAACTGTCTAAGCATGTGGTTATATGCCTCATTGTCGCAAAGAAGATTCAGGCATGGAGTCACGGAGTTGCACAAAGTTAATTTTGAGAGTTTTTCGGGTCGGATTGAGTGTCTTTTAGCCACTTCTAACTCAGTAAGTCCACATGACACATGACATTTGAAGGATTTTATAAACTTCCCCAGACAAAGCCGGATAAACCCGAATAGCCCCCCCAAAAGAGGACATGTCCGGGTAAAAGAGGACGTATGGCCACCCTATTGTAACAATAAAGCTATTGTACATACGTTAAGTTGTCTATATTTTCATTGTTTGACATATAACCAGTTAGCCACTTGCTAGCGTATTTGTCGTTTGTTTTGGTACATGACAAAATAGGTTAACCATGAATCTGCCTTGTAGTATTGAGCTGAAAGGGGACATGTCACCACCAATAGTTTTGTCATTTCTAACCAATTACCGGTAAACTTGGACAAGGATGGTTGTACAATTTAGTCACCTAGTTGAGCAATTAGCAGAGTTTGGCTTGACTGTGCATGCAAACATGACCTGACCTATGACCTCTTTGTAAGCAAGTTCGGGCTGTATTTCTTAAGCTTGAAGTTGTCCCATCTATTATGACTCAATAAAGGCTCAGAACCATAAGCTGAAACCAACATTATATCAGCATTTAAATTAACTAATTTAGTGCCAGGTTCATTTATGCCAGGCATGTCCAAACTATTCCACAAAGGGCCGGTGTGGCTGCAGGTTTTTCTTCCAACCAAGCAGCAGCACACCAGACTTGATTCATTTCATCAGCTGATCTCAGTCTTCAGACAGCTGATTGGTCAGACTGCGTGCTCTTGATTGGTTGGAAGAAAAACCTGCAGCCACACCGGCCCTTTGTGGAATAGTTTGGACATGCCTTTATGCAATTTTCACCCTGTGCCACCATTGACCGCAACATAAATTTCCGGATCTTTTAGGACCTATAGAATATCCTGTGCTTGGACTAGAATTAAGTGCAATATATCAAAAGAAAGGGGTGATTCTCTTCTTTTACCACAAAAAAAGTAAGTCTCTAACCCACTCCTGTGTTTAGTTATTGCCAATCTGGAAAAAGAACCCTGGGAAAAACACGAAGGAGAGACTTTCTAGCAGAACTCTGATCAATGATTTCATTTTACTTCAAACTACTTTACCGGTGGCATCAAGGTCCTCCCTCCTTGGACACCACTTCTCATCACTCTCGAGATCAAATTGTGATAGGTCACTTCGTGACGGCTGGGAGTTGTTTTGGTTCTTAAGAACCTGACGCTGCAACTGCTCACGTCCTCCTCGCCGGGACTGTCACTGAATACCTGCTCAGTCTCGCTCACCATTTACGGACAACAGCGGCACAACAACACGCCAGACTATTGTTTCTTTGATTGACGATGTGAAGGTCCAGTACCGGGATCTCTACTGGATCCAGAGACGGTAGCACTGCGCCCACGGGAGCCAAACGCCAAGGCCTTTAGCTCTAGGCGAATGACTTTGGCATTTTCTTACTCTCCTCATAGAGAAAACACTCCACAACTAGGCTAATGGGCACACTTAGTGGCACACTAATCACTGGCGAATACTTGTTTTTTGTTATTGTAACATGGTTATGATGTATTTGCTGAAAAAAACTGACAAAAAAAAAAAACCCGTCAAAATCCATCAATGGCACTCAGGGCAAAGAAAAAAATCTGTCCAAATCTGTCATTGGCACTGAATGGGTTAATGAATGCTGACATGGCTGAACAAAGAGGTGGGTGGGTACCTAAAGCTGAGCTTAGACATCCTCTGTAAAGGTATAACTTCTGGGTTGTTTCAAAAGAACAAAACTGTGTAAAAAGTAACACCCCTAAGCTGTGGCCAACATTATATCAGTGGGATAGCAGCCAAAATTAGTTTTAAACAGTGGTGGTTTTTGTTTTATATCTTTGGGAATTTGGCTATAATTTTTCTAGATTGTCTTTGATTCTTTGTGTAACATGTGCATTCACACACAGGGATGAGAAGCTCCCCTCTTTGACAGCCTTAACACCACATGTCCAGAATAAATGAGCGTCCCCTGCCCCCCTTTCACTCCCTGTCCCCCTCACACTGTGACATTTCAGTCATGTCCCCCATAACAGAATGTCAACCTGGTGCTGTATCCCCACCATTAATCTCCCTAATTGAATAAAGATGAAGAGGACCTGCTGGGATGAGAAAGGGCAGGAGAGTGTCTGGGGTGTGATTTAATGACCCCAGTGATTTATGGTGGAGGCTAACACCCCGTTTAGGACCGTGTGGGTGGTGTGTCAGAGGACAGCTTCTAAAAATGCCCTTTTTACCGTTTCCCTGTAGTGCTCAGAGCATCACCTCGGCTGCTCCTCAAGCATCATAAATTTCAAGAGAAGCCAGAGCCAGTGCAAGAGGGAAAATTTGTCTCCTTTGTGGAATACATGAGCAGCAAAACCTTCAAGAAAGGGTAGGAGGGGGAGGGGGAAAGGCTTGAAGGATGGAGAAAATGGGGGAAAATGGGAGAGAAATGACTAAGGAGGGACAAGAAAGGAGGTAGGAAAGATGAGGAGAGGAAGGAAAATGGAGAAAAAGAGGTGAAAGAGTAGTGGGGGGAACAAACTTAGAAACGGGCTGGAACAGTAACAACAGGGAAGATTAGCGATTAAAGCCAAAAACATCTTTGAACTGGCATGTTTCTGACATGTTAAATAAGTTACAAAGAGAAGCTTATATCAGAATTAAATGGTCATTTCTAAGAAAAAAGATCAGATCCAGTATCAGATCCAGCATTTATTTCCTGAACAAAAATGTTGAGTTCTCTCTGGTGCACTAAACTTTAATGACGAGAAATCCAATCTTACTATGAAACTGTTAAATCTAGTCATGATAAATATTGCGATTAATAATAATAATATGATTTGGCTCTGTTTGCGCAGACAGGTTACGTCACCGTTTATTTTCCTTTTAAACCAATCATTTATCTGCAACAAGAGCGCCGGTGCAGCCAGCAAGAATCCGGTCTGTTACACTTTCACCTGGAGGCTTGTTTGTCTGATAAAAGATGTCAAAAAAAGACCTAATGACTAAATCTGAACATATGGAGAGCGTTGCATTAAAATGTAGACAAACTGTTTAAAAAAAAAGAAAAAAAGACTGGTCTGCTTCATCTCTTTCCAATAATACTTCTTAAATACAATAACCTAAATGTTTGTGCATCTCCATAAATTTCTTCATTTGGGGTTTTTTGATGAAATTCCTGCCTCAATGTGACATATTTGAGATCAGTCTGTAGCTCTGCTGATGTGTTATAATACCTTGGTCAACAAATCCTTTGGTAGTAGTTTTGGTGCTGTAGGCAGGTTCGTGGTCCTGCTGAAAAAGTCAATCTGTATCTCCATAAAGCTTCTCAGCAGATAAAGCATGAAGGTCCCTCATCTCTCCTGGTGGACTTTAGGTTGCGTTGACTCTGGAGTTGATAAAACACAGAAGACAGAAGCAACAGATGATGTAGCCCCCCAAACCATCACAGACTGTGAGAACTTCACCCTGGACTTCAAGCTCCTTGGATTCTAGGCCTCTCTGATCTTTCTCCAGACTCTGGGACCTTGATTTCCAAATGAGATGCTAAGTTGAGCTTCATCTGAAAACAGGACGTTCTTCCTCTTCTTAGTCCAGGTGAGACTAACGACATTTTCTATGGTTAAGGAGGGTCTTGACAGCAGGAACACAACACTTGCAGTCCATTTCCTGGACATTTCTCTGTGTGTAGAGGCTGTTGAAACAAAGTTTAAGACTCGACAAGATAAGGAGGGGGGAGAAAAGGAAAAAAATCACTAGAAATGTCAATGAAGTAAAGAAAATGAGCAGAAAAGGGAAGAAAAACAGCGGTGAAAGAGTAAATTAGGACAGAAAAGGGATGGAAAAGAAAGGAAAGGAATAATCTTTGGGTTGCCAGGTCAGAGCCTGTGGGTCTGGTCTGCTGATCTCAGCATTAACTTGACAAATTAAAGTCAAACCTTTGTGGGCTTTCTTCCTTTCAAGGCTCATTAGGGTACGATCACAACTCCTTCATACGCTGTCAGGTTTCTGGCTGCTGAGCGGCTACTGTAAATATACTGTTTAATTAAGACTTCAGGGTTCATGACTGAGAAAGAAAGCACCAGTTCAGTTTCAGTCTAAAACCATGAGTAGCCTTAACAAAGGAGAAAAAGATGGCGCACACACCTGTTTTTAAAAAGCCGAACCTCCTTCCTCTTTTTCCCTTGCATATTTCAAAGGACGGCTAACGACATCCACAGACAGAGTGATTACACGGCATGTTAACGCTCCTGAAGACAAAGTCGTGTCTCAGGCTTGGAGGGGAAATGTATTTTACAGCAGGAGCAGCCCGACACAGATGTTAACAGAATCACAGCCATCTGCCCCAAGATAGCCACCCTCCACACCCCTGCTGCTAAGTCATGCCACGCTGGTGCACCGCCACGCTGTGCCATCAGCTGTTAAGTCATTCATACTGAAACAAAGGGTTAAATGTGAGCAAAGACATGTAACACAGCTGGACACACGCGTGGAGCGATATCACAGGGCAGACACAGAGACAGAGGCTTCTCTGTGTCATTTATACGCCGTCTTCACGCCTCAATCCATCACATAAAACGCAATGACTGCAGGTTGGTGATTAATGAGCTTCTCAACATGTCTGAGCCCCCGGGTGCTATCACAGAGCGTGTGTGGGTGTGATATTAGATACTCAAATACAGCAGAAACG